ATTCAGAGCAAAGGCCCAGACCACTTCCAAGTTTTCAAGGACATATCCCCAAAACTAGTACTTTTACCAGTTTTTGTGACACTTAAACCTAACATCTGCCACACTGAAGGAATCAGTGTGCCCAGCTGTTAAAGACTAGGAGCATTTTAGGAAGAAAAAGTTCCTTTGGAGAAGAGATTACTTCACCTCAGGTGAAGGGAACAGGGCCTCAAGGAGTCACTGAGAGGTTAAGAGTGTCTCCCCCTGACGAGAGGAAAAGGACAGACTGGGGAGCTTCCCTGATGATGTGGAAGGAAGAGCTGAGGAGTAGCCTGCATCCTCCAAGTCTCTTACCACAAGCACAGGCCACAGATAAGAGAGGGTGAGCATGGAGTGGTCTGGCCACCCTAGCTGCTGAAATGAAATTGTGTTTGACAAGCAACCACAAGACTGAACAGAAAAATCATGGGACTGCGCAACTGCTCGCCTACAAGCAGGGGAAGAACTTCCCCTAGGGAACAAATTCCCAAAGGACAGAGTGGAACAAAAAATGGATTTGTTCTTTGACTCCCCTGGTGCAACTTGTCCAGCATCCTAGTTACACATATCTCCTCCCTGTGCAGATGTCCTCCCAAAGCCTACAACTGTCTCCCAACTGGGAAGGAAAAACTGACTTTCTTCCAAAAATCAGGCAACCGTGCTCATAATAGGCAGCTGGAGACTGTTTGGAGCCTGGCTACTTAAGGGCATAAATATAAACTCATCGAAGAAATAAACTGACAATTTTTAATTTTTAATTATCAGTTATTTCTTCGATGAGTTTATACTTATATTCTTAACCACCCATAAATGTAGAAACCACCCATAAACACAGAAAATCCATTTTTCTGTACAATAGATGGCAATGAAAGAAGGCTGTCATCTTAGAAATATAAAAGGAGGGGAGAAGGGAAGAAAAGGGAAATACACATGAGTCTTACCCAGGCCTTGATTCTGCTGTTCCCACTCGAGGGCATCTGGCACCTGGTAGGTAGCTCCCTCCAACAGGTCCATGTTTCCCTGCTCTAAGCCTGGTTCCTGGGATGTGATACCAGGGAGGGTGAAACCTGGCAGCTCAGTGTCACCGTCCAAGCCCTCATCCAGCGAGTCTGCATCTTTATCTTCCTCATCTTCTTCCTCATCTTCCTCTTCTTCATCTTCATCTTCTTCGTCTTCTTCATCCTCATCTTCTTCTCCCTCTAGGCAAAAAGAAATCAAAGGCAAGCATAAACATAAAATGAGTTTATGCTGAAACAAATGAATCCTTGGAAATGACCCAAACACTACAAAATAATTGTTTGGCCTTTTGAAACACATCTTTATAGCCAAAGTCAGACAATGTGAACTTTGTAGGATTATACACCCACCACATGTCCTAGAGTTTAAACTTTTAGAATCATAGTTATGTCAGATCAGTATCAAGTGTCATGTTTACTGGGAGTCAAAGTTCAAGTAAAATGATTTGTTATTAAAGTTATTTATATTTACAAGGGTAGTGAACATCCCCTTGCTGTTTTCTGGAGATCATTAAAAGTTTATCAGTTAGCACACTGAGATACTAACAAAACTTAAAAGAAGCTGTTCCTCTCCCTTTATAGCTCATAATGTTAAAGGAGACAATTCATTATTTTGGCATGGTTTTTTCTATGCATCCACATCAGTGAGTAGAACTCACAACAATGTTAAGTGAGGAGCACATAAATTCACTCTTGGATCTTGTTCTCTCTAAGGAAGAGTAATCCAAGAAACTGGAAATAATTGCATCAACGTTCTCAATCCAACTCTAAAGGAATTGGGAAATGGGATATTCACCAGGAGTAATCAGAAAGGCAACACATTAAAAATTACCATTATCCCATTATCTTCATTGTAAGAGTTAACATGCACAATTTGCCGTTTTCTTGATTTTTTTTTTTTTTTTTTTTTTTTTTGAGACGGAGTCTTGCTCTGTCACCCAGGCTGGAGTGCGGTGGCGTCATCATGGTTCACCACAGTCTCAAATTCCTGGGCTCAAACAATCCTCCTCCCTCTACCTCCCACAATGATAGTATTATAGGTATGAGCCACGGCACTTCACCACAAGTTGTCATTTTCAATGCTTCAAGTGGAGTGGGTTTAAGGAACATAAGATCCCCAATTTCATTTTGTTTCACCAATGTTAAATTCCTAGCAACACTTCAAGGCCCCATCCTCACCATGGATGCACCCCTGAAGCCCCTGGTAAGTGCCCACAAAGTTCACAGAAGGCCTTCCCTTTGGTCTCTCCCCTTGATTCTCACAGCAGTTACTGCAACAGGTAATTCTCCCCCTATGGTGAAGAAAAGAAGGAAGGAAGAACAACTGGAGCCACCCAAGAATTTTGAGACTCTCCTTTTCTGCTTCTACACAACTTTCTCCATACGTACTACCTTTCCTCTATCATTTAGAGGTTTTCTAAATTTTAAAAAAATCACCTTTAATCTTTTTTTATTCTTTTTTTTTTTTTTTTTTTTTGGAGACGGAGTCTCGCTCTGTCGCCCAGGCTGGAGTGCAGTGGCCAGATGTCAGCTCACTGCAAGCTCCGCCTCCTGGGTTTACGCCATTCTCCTGCCTCAGCCTCCAGGGTAGCTGGGACTACAGGCGCCCGCCACCTCGCCCAGCTAGTTTTTTTTCTTTTTGTATTTTTTAGTAGAGACAGGGTTTCACTGTGTTAGCCAGGATGGTCTCGATCTCCTGACCTCGTGATCCGCCCGTCTCGGCCTCCCAAAGTGCTGGAATTACAGGCTTGAGCCACTGCGCCCGGCCAATCTTTTTTTATTTTTATATGTCCTTTAACTTCGTAGGATTAATATCTGTCACTATTCTAAAAATTCAACAAATATTTATCAACCCCCATTGGGTGCTGTTGCAGACACTAGGGACAAAGCAATAATGCCTCTGCCTTTATGGAGCCCATATGCCACTCAGCGAGACTCACAGCAAACAAACAGATATACCAATAGCCAGGTGACTCTACACTCTCATTAAAACCGGCAAGAAGACAGAAAATGCCAGGCACTGCTATTTTAGAAAGGGAGATTAAAGAAAGCTTTTCTGACAAGGTAAAGTTCGAACAGAGGCCATACCAAAATAATGAATTCTCTTGTTTAATTTAGGTCAACATCTACAGGAAGAGCATTCCCAGTGGAGGAAATAGCGAAGGACCTAATCCTTAGGCAGGTGTGGCCTTGCTGTGTTCAAAGAATGGCAAAGAAGCCTGGGCTGGGAGGGACAGGGCAAATACAGGAAATGAGGTAGGAAGAAGCAGGCAGGGGCCAGATCTGACTTTTTTTTTTTTTTTTTTTTTTTTTTTGAGTGTTTTGTTTATTTCAATAGGTTTTTTGGGAACAGGTAGTACTGACTTACATTTTTAAAGAATGACTCTAGCAACAGGGTGGAGAACAGGCTATATCAAAGCAAGAGATGAAGCAAGAAGGCTAATAAGGAGTCCATTTAAAAACCAGGAATAGATTATGGTGCTTTGGACTAGGGTACAATCTGGAAAGAGGAGAGAGCTAGTCAGATCTGGGATGTAATGTCAAGGTAGAACCCTGCTGATAATTACAATGTGAGATGCAAAAGGAAGATACCACATGACTGAAAATGGGATCCAAAAGATAAAGAGTCAAAGCAAGAATTTGTATTTGAGATATGGCAACTGTGTGATGGCCTATGGCATCCAAGGAAATGTTAGAAGTCTAGAGAAGTTTCAAAGCTAGAGATAAAAGTTTGGGAATTGCCAACTTATTAATAATATTCAAAGCCTTGAGACTGGCTGAGATTATCAAGAAGGTGGGTATAGACAGAAAGGGAAATGGTCCAGACCACATTCCCAGGGAAAGCCACCACTTAGAGGGTGACCAGCAGAGGAAGAGCCACACGGGAAACAGGAGTAACCACCAGGGTGGGAGAAAATCCAAGAAGTCTGTGGTGCCAGGGAAGGAAAATGAAGAAAGCATCTCCAAGGGTCCGAGTAAGAGACTGACTGTCCCTCTGGCTTGGCATTGGGAGGGCACGGGTGACCTTGACAAAAGTTGTTTCTGAGGAATGGCACAGACAAAAGCCAGGGTGGAGTGGTTCAAAAAAAGATTAGAACAGAAGACACAGCAAACAAAAAAATTCTTACCAGAAATTTGGCTAAAAGGAGAACAGAGAAAATAGGGTGCAGCTGGAGAGAGACACAGGGTCAACGGTAGGGTCTTAAAATAGAATATAGAAAATAGAACCTGCTTGTAAGTTAATGTGTCAGATCTCATCGAGAGGGGCAATCGATGAGGCAGGAAAGACAGAAGCAGCTGTGGGAGACTATCCTGGGAGACATGGTATTATACAAGGGCTGCATGCATAGACTCGGAAGCTGCACACATTTATCCTGACTGTGTGATTTTGCTCACGCTGCTGAATTTTGCTGTGCCTCAACCTCCTCATCTGTAAAACTGACATTATTCCTACCTCACAAGGCTGTTGTAAGGATTTCATTAGTTAATTTGTAAGGTACTTAAAAATAAGCCTGGCGCATAGTGGACAGATTGGCTTCTTCATAATGACTAAAAGAAGACAGGATCCAGTGCACAGGCCTGTTTGGATACATCCTCTCCTGCAACGGTAGGAAAAAGGAAAGCAGAGAAACAGGCACAGTGCAGGAAGGTTATTCTCAGTCAAATAAAAAAACTGGGCCGGGCGCGGTGGCTCATGCCTGTAATCCCGGCACTTTGGGAGGCTGAGACAGGCGGATCACGAGGTTAGGAGATCGAGACCATCCTGGCTAACATGATGAAACCCCATCTCTACTAAAAATACAAAAAAGTAGCCGGGTGAGGTGGCGGGCGCCTGTAGTCCCAGCTACCCTGGAGGCTGAGGCAGGAGAATGGCGTGAACCTGGGAGGCGGAGCTTGCAGTGAGCCAAGATCGCGCCACTGCACTCCAGCCTGGGAGACAGAGTGAGACTCCATCTCAAAAAAAAAAAAAAAAAAAAACTGGAAAGGAAAAGAGAAATGTTGGTGGTTTGAGGCGAGAAGAAAAAGTGTGAAATAGTCGTCTTGGAGAGTGGGCGAGTAAATTCTCAGAGAAATGGGGCAGGACTGCCAGGCAGCTCTCAAGGCCCACTTCAGATGTGACATCATATATCTAAAGTGAGACCTGTTAAGATGGTTGTGAGTTTTTCTCAAGCCACATTCAGCTGCTTGGGTACAGGCATGGGTGGAGAGGTGAGTAGGCACAGAGATTTCACCAGCAGCAAGTTTTACCAGAAGAGTTCAGCTGAGAGTGTGAGGGATAGAGAGAGGGTAAGAAAGGGTATTGAATGTGTGTGAAGGAGTCATTATAAAGGTGGACCAGGGACTCTAATTAAAGAGAAGTTGAAAAGGAGGCTGGATAGAGGAAAAATGATAGAAATTTAGATTATGAGGAAAACTATCAGGAACCATTAAAACTATCTGAGGACTTCCATGTCTTTATTTTGGATTCTTGACAGGTTTTCTCTCCTCCTCTTGGGGCTGGATCCGGAAGGAATGGCACCCCTTCCTTCTCCTGGAGTGCCCTTGCCTGTACCCCCAAGACCAAGACCACAGCTTCACAATGTAGCAGGGACTCCTGGCCATCCCTCAAAAGTGACTGTTTCTGTGCTAGAAAATGGAAAAATAGCAAGGGCCAGAAGCGAACCAGAGTGTAGAGTGAGGCAGAACCAGTGAGTCAGAGTGATGACATGGCCTCCATGCCAAGGCAGAAAGAAAAACAAGCAGACAGATATCCAGAGGAAAAGCCAAAGAAGTTGACCAGAAGGATTAAGCTGTGGGACACTAAGGCCCACATCACCTGCCACCTGTGTAGTGGGCACCTCATTGATGCAACCAGGGTGACCAAGTGTCTGCACACATTCTGTAGGGGTTGCCTGGTAAAGTATTTGCAAGAGAACAACACCTGCCCTGCATGTAGGACCGTGATGCATCACACCCACTTACTGCAGTACGTCGGTGATGATGGCACCATACATGCGACTGTTCACAAATCGGTATCAGGTCTCCAAGCAGCAGAAATGAAAACAGAGAGAGAATTCTGTCACAAATTGGGCATGCAAGTGCCTGGACGGATCAAGGGGGAGACTTGTTCCACAAAACAACACTTAGATTTCCATCAGAATGGTGAAATGAAAGCAGAAGACAGTTCAAACCAAGAGATCAAAACAGAGAAGAAGGAAAAGAACAATGATTTTCACAGAAGCGATGAGCAGGAAAGCAACAGCAGCAAGCTGTGGGGATTGAAAAGGAAATGCATCTGCTGCACAGCCCAAGCAATGGTCTGACAGCTAAAGAAGTTCACTGCCAAAATCTTAACCTTTTGTCCTTCAATGAGGTAACAGTCAATCCGTAAATAGAAACTCTAGCAAGTCATTTCGTAGGTAAAAATGACACTTCTAAAATTCTTTGGGTTTTTTCTTTTTATATACAACTTTGTTTGGAGATTTTAACCAGAAAAAAATCTCAATTTGTTTTGCCTGCCCTGCCAGGTAGTATGATAGGAAACAGCAGTGAGGACGTGAAAAGCCCAGAGACCATGGACATGAATAACCCACCATTAATAGAAGAGAAAGTGGTGGAGAGGGTGTGGAGAGGAGGGTAGGTGATGAAATTGTTTTAAAATATGCTAAAGATATTCCTCACAAAAAAGAATTCTGTTCTTTAATTTCACAAATGGATGGGTATGTAGGTGGGCTGAAGGAGGGATGGGTGAATGAAGGGGAGAGAGAGAGAGAGAGAAATGCTTCCAAGTTGTGGTAAATTCTGAGAATAAAATGAAACCTGGTGGCATGCTGGGCTGGGTGGTGGAAGAGCGGCATGAGCACATGAGCTCAAAATCACTGGGAGCTCACCTCAAGGTGGTGATGTTTTGTGTGAAGATGTAAATTCTCAGCGGGAGACCAGCTCTGCACAGGTAAGAGAAGGCACTGGAGGGCCTTAGGTAGGGATACATGGTTTGGGGTAGGGTTTTAAAATGTCCCTCAGGCTGTGTGGAAAATGGGTTATGGGGTAGAGAAAGGAAAGCAAGAGAGGTTGATGGCGGGAGTCCCAGGAAAGAAGAACCACGGTGGTGCAGTGAAGGTGGAAAAGTGGACAGACTTGAGATGTGTTTTGGAGACAGCAGTGGGTGGAACGGTGGCCCCCAAAGAGATAAACCCACATCTGGGCCCCTAGAACCTACAAATGTGACCTCATTTGGTAAAAGAATCTTTGCAAGTACAAGTAAGTTAAAGATTTGGGGATGAAATAGTCTTGGATTATCTTGGTGGACCTTAAGTACAATGACAAAAAGTCCTTATAAGAGTAAGGCGGAGGTCAGGCACTGTGGCTCACACCTGTAATCCCAGCACTTTGGGAGGCCAAGGCAGGTGGATCACCTGAGGTCAGGAGCTCAAGACCAGACTGACCAATGTGGAGAAACCTCGTCTCTACTAAAAATACAAAATTAGCTAGGCGTGGTGATGCATGCCTGCAATCCCAGCTACACGGGAGGCTGACACAGGAGAATCGCTTGAACCTGGGAGGTGCAGGTTGCAGTGAGCCGAGATCGCACCATTGCACTCCAGCCTGGGCAACAAGATCAAAACTCCATCTCAAAAAATAAGTAAGGCAGAGAAAGACTTGAGATATAGACACAGAGACAAAGAGAAAGTTATGTGGAGAGGGAGGCAGACACTGGAGTGATACAGCCACAAGCTGAGGAATACTTGAGCCACTAGAAGCTGGAAGAGGCAGGAAGGATCCTCTCTGCTATGGTCTGCATGCATCCTCCAAAATTCAAGTTTGGAAATTAATAGATTGGTGCCCTTATAAAAAAGGGCTATGGGAGTGGGCTCATGCTCTTCTGCTCTTCCACCACATGAGGATGCAGCAAGAAGACCCCTGCCAGATGCTGGCACCTTGGTCTTGGACTTAGCCTCCAGAACTATGAGGAAATAAATTTCTATTATTCATAAAACCAAGTCCCCGTCCCCCTCCTTGCCAAAAAAAACCCTATTTAAAGACTTTGCGGATCTTCCTCCTATAGACAGCAACTGTCTAAAAAGAGCACTATTTTTTTTTTTTTTTTTTTTTTTTTGAGATGGAGTCTTGCTCTGTCACCCAACCTGGAGTGCAGTAATGTGCACACAGCTCACTACAGCCTCAGCCTCCTGGGTTCAAGTGATCCTCCCAAAGTGCTGGAATACAGCTGTGAGCCACTGTGTCTGACCCCATTTATTTATTTTTGAAGCATTATAAATTTAATGTTAGTGTCCTTTGCTCCCCACAAACCTAAGAGGTTTGTATTGATAAAACAATTGTGACTATACAATCCTGATCTCCTAGGATCACTGTTCTCTGACCACTACCATCCACCAAAGACAACTTCTACTTGGTCCCCAACACCTTCAGCCAATCTCTTCTCTTTAAAGTACAGAATTATAAAAAATGAAAGGAACCTCAAAGTCACTTTACTCCAACCTATTATCTATCCCAAAGAGAGGGTTGCAGGTAAGCAAGCCTAGCCCAACAAGAAGGCTGGTACCTTTATAATGTGACTTGGAGGATGCTGCTAGGGTCAACATGTCTCATAAACTCTCCCACACTCACTCACGTTGGCAGAGACTTCCTTCTCCTTCTCTCTGCCCTGAAATGTCCAACATGAGATGCCTTCCTCTGTGTCAGACAATAAAACCGAGGAGTACTCTCTCTAGAAACTTCTTATTGAGTAGTATACAATTTATATTATGGGAAAGTAAGGAAGGTCTCTGATTTACATGCGGGATACAACAGGAAAGCTTTCTCCTTGTACTACCAGCTTCACCCTTCAGCACAAAGCAACTTATAAGATTTACTACTTGTCTTTTTAATATTTACAAAATCATAGAGCTAGCCTAAGAAGACAGCCATAGAAAAAGAAAGTTTTGGTAACTGTGTGGAGAAGACAGAAGGAAGTCAGCTTTATTAGAATGAGGTTTCTCTTTTAGTCTACCTTATTCTCTCATAATCTTTTTCTGCCAGAAAATGTTCTTTTTAGGAGCCTACAATTATTTTATAGCCATTAAACATCTTTAGTTGTATGTGACCTGTACCCTGCTTCAATTACCAATAGAACCTGACTACTATTACAGATCAGTAACAAAAAAGGTATTATCACCCTTCTTCAAATTAGCAAACTAATATATGTTATAGTAACTTGAACCAGAAAGGTAGAAAACTATCCAATAAGGGAAAGATGGTCTTGTCCCCTGTTGTATCACCAGTGACTAGTAAGTACTTGGCAAGCAATAGCGCTCAATAAGTATTTTCTGAATGAATGAATGAATGAATACATGAAAAAATGCATAAACAATGAGATAGATGCAGTTTTTTAAACCCAGATCTAAGGAATCATAGAGTAACACTTAATAAACAATCAGTAACACATTCCTCTGAATACTCTTGCAACCACAAAGGCAACATAGAAGACCAACAGGTGTAAAACAAACCAGAGTTCATCTTCCATTCATAAAAACTGAAGAGAAAGTCATCTGTATTTCAGCCAGTCTTTCAATTAGTTACACCCAAGATAAATAATGACATCATGAACATCTCTGAACACAACAAACAATGACATGCCATAAACGTTCAGCAAATAAAACTATGCCAAAAATAACAGGATCCCTGGCCCAAGAACTAAAATTAAAGAACTCAATCAAATAACACTACCAAGTTATATTTAAAGGTTAGAGGGTAATGCCTAAGTTTTGCAATTTTGTTTAAATAAACCCCGAATTTTATTTTCATTCATCTGAACTCCAAATAAGCATGAGGTCAAGGTAAAAGACACATACACACAATTATTCCAAATAGAAATAGCATACAGAAAGAAAACTGAACCTCTAAAAAGAAACAATTGGGCTAGACATAGTGGCTCACGCCTGTAATCCCAACACTTTTGGAGGCCAAGGTGGGTGGATCACGACGAGTTCAGGAGATTGAGACCATCCTGGCCGACATGGTAAAACCCCATCTCTGCTAAAACTACGAAAATTAGCCAGGCATGGTGGTGCATGCCTGTAGTCCCAGCCACTTCAGAAACTAAGGCAGGAGAATCACTTGAACCCGGGAGGCGGAGCTTGCAGTGATCCGAGTTCAAGCCACTGCACTCCAGCCTGGGCAACAGAGTAAGACTCCATGTCAAAAAAAAAAAAAAAGAAAAGAAAAGAAAAGAAAAAGAAAGAAAGAAAGAAGAAAGAAAGAATTAATCTTGGTTTACTATGCATAGCAGATACATGTCCTATGTCAATAACCAGTAATCATGCTCAAAGACGTAAAGTTATATTTGTTCTGACAATCTCTAAAAACATTGCAATCCAGGAAAGGAAGGTTCAGAGAGTTCAGCCTGAAAAGTTCCTTCTAGTCAAGTTACCTAGAATTGGAAAGTTCGTCCTCGTAACTGACACTTCTTTTTCACAAGTTGCTGTGGCACTGATTACGTCATAACACCAAACACTAACAGCGACCCTAGCAGCAAAGGGGCAGGAAGAATGGTTTCTAAGTAACCATCTCTCTTCACAGCCAAAATCCTCCCAACAAACTGCACTGTTTCCACTCCCAAACACATAACCCACATTATGAAAAATTCCCTTTTCACTCTTGTTGAACCAGCATCTCCTTAGAAGACATGTCCCACTGAGTCCAGCATGCACAGGCAGGAATGACGGGCTCCTTGCCATGGAGCTGATGGATTTTTCCATAGCATCCTTACCGAGATCAAGTCACTTGGGATTAATCTGTTGCTCCTGCTAGCATGTCCACCATCAAGAATTCTGACACTTAACAATAGCGAAAAACCTGGATGAGATGTCAGCCAAAACCCTAACTTAGGTGTTCAGACAGTAGATGGTTCAGCATGCAAGAGGCACTGGGACATAGTTCAATTTCTGACTGCTGTACTTGAGGTGAACTGAAACAGTTAAGAATAAAACTAAGAAACGTTAAACAGAAATGTCAGAGAACAGTGCCACATGGCCAAGAGATGCTTAGTGATATTAAACAGTGCGTCCACAGCTCAAATAGAGAAATGTCCTGTTGCAAGTGGCAGGCAGACAAAATGTGTCTACACGGTACCCTCTCTAAGCCAACTTTATCTGTCTGGCAGATCTCTGACAATCTCTTAACAGCTGTTCAAAGCTCACGACAATACTTTGTACTTACATGGGGCTTTCCTTCCAAGAGACTCAAACAGTTTTTTAGGCTTTATTCTCCAAACTTACATTGTTAGCTAATAGGGAACAAGGTTTATAAGTTTTGTTTTACTTACAGGCTACTTGGTCGGTGAAAAAAAAACTATGTTGGATACTCAAATATCACAGCAGAGGCTTAAATGAGCTTGTGCAAACCTAAAATTTTTGCCTTTCTAGATCAGACCTGTTTTCTTTATTCATTGCAAATATTTCCATCTACGGTTACCAAAATCGAGAGTTTTCACTTTGTTCAGGACCAGAGTCATGGGTTAACTCTCAATGAAATCAATAAACTATATGGGAGAAATTTTGCCCTATGACCCTGAGTAATTTGAGTAACCTGACTCTGCTACAAACATGTGTTGTTTAATAGGCAGTTCCTACCAAAGGTGCTCCGTTTCTCTAACTTCATTTTTATCACAGCTTTGACTTTTTCAGACCTCCAGAAGATACAGAAGTAGCTAGCACTTCCAGGCTGTTACTAACGCATCAAAGATAGAAAAAGCCTTGGTTTAGAATGTGTCATCCCAACAATGATGGCAGGAAGAACCAGAGCAGGAACACCTGTTCCCTAACATCTGCTGTCTGTTCTTGACTTTCAAGGAGAATAGGGTCTCACCTGTATTTTCTGCCTTTTTGGAATCGCAATGATTAGTTTGAATCATCATCTTTTGTCTACTTATTCATGAGTTTTACACGTCAAATTTCTCTTTTAGTGACTTTTTCTTCCCTTTACTAAGTTTAAAATTAAATCTAAAGTAAACAAATTAGAGGCCAGGTGCAGAGGCTCACGGCTGTAATCCCAGCACTTTGGGAGGCCAAGGCAAGTGAATCACGAGGTCAGGAGATCAAGACCATCCTGGCTAACGTGGTGAAAAACTGCCTCTACTAAAAATACAAAATTTAGATGGGCATGGTGGTGCACACCCTTAGTCCCAGCTACTTGGAAGACTGATGCAGGAGAATCGCTTGAACCCCGGAGGCGGAGGTTGCAGTGAGCTGAGATCATGCCACTGCACTCCAGCCTGGGCGACAGAGCAAGACTCCGTCTCACAAAAAAAAAAAAAAATTAGCCCACGTGAAAAAGAAGAAGCATGCCATGAAAAGAAACAGGGTAGTTTCACTAGGCATGGGCTGAGCACATATTAGTCTTT